AAAAAAAAAAAAAAAAAAAAAAAAAAAAAAAAAAAAAAAAAAAAAAAAAAAAAAAAAAAAAAAAAAAAAAAAAAAAAAAAAAAAAAAAAACAATCAGTTAATGGTTTGTCTTTCTACCTCCGTTTTTCTGTATGTCTTTCTTAGTATTTTTTCCCCCCACTTACTCTGGTTGTCTAAGTGAGCACCCTCACGTAGTGCCAAATAGTCAGCGGTTCTTTGTTTGGACTGCCCACTGCACTAGTAGGGAGCCTGCTCCGTTCGGCATGTCTGTGGGGGTGATGACGGATGTGCTTCGAAGTGGGAAGCAACAGTCTGCGGGTTTCGGCTTGTGGTGTGAGTAGGTTATGGATTGCTTTTGGTCCGTGTTGGATGCCTGGAATGCCTTTGTCTCTGCTCTCCTCCGCTCCCTTGTCTGCTCTCCTTCGCTGCCTTCCTGCTCTCCTCCGTTGCCTTGTCTGCTCTCCTCCACCGCCATCATGTCTTTCTCTGGTGCTTTGTTGTCCGTGTGGTTTGATTGCGGCCTTGTTAGTGCCACTTTTTGCCTTGCTGAATTGCAGCCTTGCTGCCCACCCATGTGCCTTGTCTTCCCGTGCACTTTGCTTGTGTGCCGTGTTGTTTGGCTACTTTGGAAGTGCTGGCTTGCGCTTTGCTGTGTTCTTACCGTGCTGCCCGTCAGCTTGTGCTTTTGTTCCGTGAAGTTCGCTTTGATTCGGTGGCCCTGTTCGCATTGCCTGGTGCTTCGCTGAGTTGTTGCCTTGCTGCCATTTTCTTCTTGTGCTGTTGCGTGCGGACCATCTACTTCCAACCAAGGTTAAGACAATCCATGAGTCGATGCATCAATATGGGGATTCTGCAGATGATCGGTGGGAAGTCTGACAGAGACTGACACCAACTTTGATTTTTTTCTGTTGTTTTTATTTTTTAGTACACTTCTACAGTCGTCTACTGTATTTTTCTCTCCATCCTTCATCTGTCCAGAGGGTTTATATAGGTGCATCACTGGGAGCACTGTCTTTGGACTTCACTCACTCAGATGCAAACTTTTTTTTTTTTTTTTTGGATGCGAACTTCCCTCCTGGGGGGTTGGGGTGGTATGGGGCATGGTCTCTTACCGTGCTGAGGTTGATTAATGTGTGTGTTTCACACACATCATTACACACACACACACACACACACACACACACACACACACACACACACACACACACACAAATCCACATTGTCTGTTTGTTTGCCTGTTCCCTCTGTCCTCCGTTGTGATCGTTTCAGCGTCCAAGTGCAGGACCTTTCAGATGTCCCAAATAGTCAGTGGCTGCTGGTATAGAGTGCATACAACAATATTAAGGGGCCTGTTGTGTTCAGGATGCCTCTGTCTCTGGGTTTCCTGGTGGTGACATACGATCGGCTTGTGACTCCCTGCTTCTTGATGGCGGCGTGTGAACCTACATCCTGCAGAGTTTTCCATATATAGTGAGTAGATGATAGTCCTCTCTGATCCTTGCTGCATTCATGAGTCTCTGTGTCATTGCGGCCGCATTGCCCCTGTTGCTGCCTGCCTTGGTGTTTAGTTGCCTTGCCTTGTTTTGTGCCCACCCGTCCACCGGCCTGCCCAACTGCTTGCCTTGCTGTATGCTCGTCCCTGTCTCTTATACACATCTAGATGTGTATAAGAGACAGGGCTTATCCTGCTCGAAAACGATTTTATTTTTATTTTTTTCCACTGCAGGCACTTTTTTGCTGATATCGAACATAATCAAAGGAGCGTGCCGCTGACACACCAATTGCACGAAACTGGAAGATGGAATTTGAAGATTTTGACAGCCACTGCAGAAGGGATCTGATGCCACTCTTTGCGCACAGGCTCGTCCTGGCAGTGCGCAAGATAAAGTGATTTTGGAAGATTTTGACCACCACCACAGTCATTTTTCGCCGGTACGGAACATCATCAAAGGAGCGTAAGCTGATGCACCAATTGCTTGAGGACCTCCTGGGAGTCGGTGTGCTCAGGATAAGCCTTGAGGGCCTTCACTATCAGGTTAAAGCTCTCTTCAAAATGACCCATTTTCTGAGCTAGCAGTGCTGCAAAGCCAGGAGAATGG